ATATATGTTTGTGTGTGTGTGTGTGTGTGTGTGTGTGTGTGTGTGTGTGTGTGTGTGTGTGTGTGTGTGTGTGTGTGTGATGAATAAAGTGTGATGTGTAACCGTAGCTGCGTCTGAAACTAAAGGCAGCTGTCCAGTCAGTCAGTAACTGAACAGGCTGTGTTTTTGGTTGACGGTGCCTCCAAAGGTAACAGCTTTCAGGCTTCCAGGGCATGTCTAATGATCAAGAACAAAATTAGAAAGCTTTAAAGATACCCAAGTGAATATTTAATGATTACAGCACTTATTTCATTCTACAAATGTATATATATATTTTTAAATTAAAATATAAACTTTTTGCGACCACTTTATCGGATGCTATTTTTATTATTTAAAACAACCAAATATTTAATTCAGACATGCCTTGAGAAAATAATTTAGAAAAGGATTTGTATTGCTCTATTAGAATTAGCCAGTTCAATATAATATGTAATATAGGTCTACTTAAACTTTCAAAAACTCCCTCCCCAGTCTCCCTTGACCATCTATGCAGCAAAAATGGTCCAATCAGAAACCATCACACTACTGACATCACAACTATAGGCTGTTTTTTCAGGATTCTTTGATGAAAAGAAAGTTCAAAAGAACAGCATTTATTTCAAATAGAAATCTTTTGTTACATTATAAATTTGTACTGTCCACTTTTGATCAGTTTCATTTGTACTGTCACTTTTGATCAATTTAATGCTGAATAAAAGTAATCATTTCTTAAAAAGAAAAAAACGGACCCAAAACAGCCTATTTATTCTATTTACAGTTGTGCACATAAGTTTGCAGAATATGCAAAATGTTAATAATTTTCACAAAATAAGAGGGATCATGAAAATTGCATGTTATTTTTTATTTAGTACTGTCTTGAATAAGCTATTTCACATAACAGATATTTATATATACTCCACAAGACAAAATAATAACTGAATTTATAAAAATGGCCCCGTTCAAAAGTTTACATACCCTTAAATCTCAATACTGTGTGTCATTTCCTGGATGATCCACGACTGTTTTTATGTTTTGTGATAGTTGCTCATGAGTCCCTTTTTTTGTCCTGAACAGTTAAACTGCCTGCTGTTCTTCTGAAAAATCCTCCAGCTCCTGCACATACTTTGGTTTTCCAGCATCTTCTGCATGTTTGACTGCTTTCCAGCAGTGACTGAATATTTTTGAGATCCATCTTTTCACTCTGAGGTCAATTGAGGGGCTCACACAAAACAATTACAAAATGTGAAAACATTTACTGTTTGGGGGGGGGGGGGGGGTTTT